CGTTAATGATTATCCATCGTAATATAGTACTTAACATTGGTGATATTGTAAATAATTTTATAAAAAAAAAAAATAGAAAATAGATTTCAACCTAGATGCATTAATTTTATTCAATTGTAGTTTAATAGTTCATTAAAATGTTTTAAGGTTTTCAATTTATGGTTTAATGCTTATTATTAAGAGTTAATTATACATATAATAAATAAATAAATTATAATTTATTATAATACATAATTCATATTTTATTATAGAAATAGTCAAGTAAACCTATATATATATATAATAGTCAAGTACCACATCATGTATCCTTTGTTCATACATACAAGATTATACTTACTATAGGAAATACGTAAATAACGTGATCAGTTGAGACAAATTATATTGCATAATGTAGATAAGTACCTACTGTGTCTTGTTAGTAATTCTTAGATAGCAGTGGTTATTTAACTCTGTCTATAGCAGCCCCTCCCGAAAATATTTTCTGTATACGCCACTGTTTGGAGCTTTCCACCAGTAAGAACTCGGGGTCCTCAGGGTTGCTAAGCTCGTAAAACAATGTATTCCCCTGAGGGTACTCACTACACCAAAAATTTAAAATCCAAACATTTATTATTGGTAATTGTTAATTATAGTTAGGAATATCAAGGGAAAGTAGAAGTATAAGGATCAGAGACAAATGGCTAAGTTAAATATGAGATAGAAACCGGTACAATTTGAAATTTTTAATCATAAGAAATTTTTTTTCACTTATTTTCTGATATGTATAATAATAATAAAATTATAAATAAAATTATTTTCAGAGTTTGAGATAAAAATGAAAGAAAATGAAAATTATCAAAATGATGAAATGAAAAATACCAACAAGTAAATGTTTACCAATCATGAATTTTTATAATACAAATTTATATCAAAACTCCTAAAAATTTATCTTTTTATTGGTTTTGTCCATATTTTTAAATATTTTATTAATTTTAAATAACTTTTAATTACAATACAGATTCAAGTACAATATAAATGATGATGTAATAAACAGATATCAGTTCACAATCATAATATTAAATATTAAAAAATAAAATATGTATTAATATTATATGAGATGTTTATTTATATTCCATTTTCATATTAATTTTAAATATTTAATTAATTAAATAATAATTAATTTTAAATATTATTTAATATAATAAAACATTAATTTATTAATGTTTATTATCTTCGAATATATGATTAATATACTTATATACTTGGTAAGTTTGATATCTTATACTTTGAAAATATTACAAATAACTAGATAGATAGACAATGTGATTTTATCTATTAGACATTAACGTACTATTCAACTTTACTTTATTATCTATATTTTTGAATTGCATGGAATCTCAAGGATATCAATTTAAATTTATTTTGAACTTTTTTTTAGATCACATGATTTGGAATCAGTTATTGAAGAGTCTTTATCATCTAAAGAATTGTATATAAAAAAACTAGTGAATAAAATTATTGAAAATCTGTCAATATCATGTAACAATGTAATATTGAAATTATTTGAAGATGACATTGTGATTCGAGTAGATATAAAGTCATTTAAGTTAAATCCTTGCAATGATGATTGGAGACAAAATAACATCACAAGTATGTATGCTTAAAATGCATTTTAATATCATATATAGTACATAGTACAACTAATTTAATGGATTAGATTAATTATTAATAAATAACATTTAGATAAACAATAACTTTCGAATAAAAAGATTTTAGTATTCTGTGATAATATTAAAAAATCTTTTAATCGCTGTTTTTTTTTTAATTATAAATTATTTCAATATTCTATGAATTGATAAAATTACTTTAGTTATTCAACTGGAATAAAAAAACCACAATTTTTTTCAGTAAATTATCTAACTAAAGCATTAACTAAACCATGAAAATAAATATATAGCATACGAGTATAACAAAATTTGTTTTTTTATAAATATGTAATAATAATAAGTAATTTATTCATTCATTTCTATATATTGATTGGTTGACATATTTTTATTATTTTTAAATGTTTATCTACTAACAAATAAACGTTTTGGTTCTAAATAATTACATTAATATTTTTTAGAAAAAACTACAATGCATTGGATATTGAAAAAAATGGGTAAACTCATTGGAATTACTATTTCAATGAATAAAATCAATAAATATGGAAATACAGAGTATTGTTTTGAACCATTGGTGTTGAACATGTCATTGTTAATTCGATTTTGCTGCATTTTCGATAAAAATTATATAGTTCAACCGTGTTTAATTCAATTGGATATTTTTAGTCAAAAAATAATAGTTACTTTAATGGAGTCACATATTTTAATGATAACTGAATTATTAAATTTATTTAAAAAGTACAAATCAGTTAATACTAAGGAAAATAATGATGATAAACAACGAACTATTTCAACATCATCGACTTCAAGTAAAATTTTATTTTATTTAATGTGAAAAAATATATTTAATATAGGACAAGGGGACATTTCCCGTAAAATAAATAAATAGGCTTCTTTAAGTATAATGTTCAGTCAGTTGTATAAAAATTTTATGTTATTTATGTTTGTGAAATATTTTATTATTAGATCTTAAATTATTTAAAACTGTACATTTTGGTCATTGACAATATGCGTGTGGTTTACAAGAAAATAAGATTTTATTTTTAAAAATAATTATTCGCTAAATTACGATCAATATTAGAAAAAATATTACAATTTATCAAGTTGTATACTTAATAAACCTTACAATAAAGTAATAGATGAAAGAAAATTAAGATTAGGAACTATGGTAAAGCAATAATGTTTTGTAATCTAAACTTTGATATGACCCTATAAATTTAATGATATGGTAATTAATTCGTGAAATTATCTGTAAATATGTACCATGGGCATGGATAACCTATAAATACATGAAGGAGAAAAATTTGAAAGAAGTTATTTTTCAATCTACAAAAAAAATGATACATAAATTATGTTTGAATACTTACTAATCCGAGCAAAAAATGTTATTTACAATTTATTAGTTGTATCTAAAACCAACCAGCTTATTGTTATTATATTGATATGTTAGATGGTACATTAAAGTATGAATATTCTTAATCAGAAATAAAACTTATTAATAAAGCCAAATAAAAATCATATTTATATATGTTATGGGTAGGGTAGTTAACATGGAATACCGGGCAATGTATACTTTGCTCGGGCAATTTAGTCCTGCCCTGGCAATTTGAACCTCGAATAGAAATAAATAACTATTAAACTTATACTAAATGACTACTAATTCTTATAATTTTATGGTAATACAGAACTAAGTATAAAATATCAGTATAATATTTCTTACTCACTAATTATATTATTCTCAGGGCCGTCCCGAAGATGAAAATCAAGGGAGGGGGTGAATAATATAAAAAATGATGACTACAATTTTTTTTACTCAACGTATGTAGCATAAATAACTATATGTAGTTGTATTTTTACTTTTTAACATGTATATATGTGTCAGTGTCGTACGTTCTTAAAATTGACAATTTAATTATATATATAATAATAATATTTTAAATTGTATAATAAGTAGTTATATAAATTTTATACATGTATACACTGTATTACGAAATATGTAATATTTGTTTTCCGTAAGTAAAATTAGGTCCTTCTTGGCTATAATGAAATAAGTCCGACTGACGACTAGTGTTTTCGTTGGGAGGGGAGACACCCCTCCAAGACCCCCCTTCGGGACGGCCCTGATTATTTTTTGTAATATCCATTATTTTCCCATGTAATATTGATAAAAATAATAGTTAGCCAATAAAATTAGACAACAATAAATGAACAATAATTGTATATATCAATTAAGTTGTCGATTTTTTGTGCTTTTCAAGACACTTTGTACTTTGTAATTATTTATTTATATTTGAAGTTGAAATTGCCAGGGCAGGACCAAATTACTCCAGTATTGTGTGCATTATCCGGTATTTTATATTATCCATAATATATATGTATAAGAATTAAATGTAGTATCTAAATAATACCTCACTTAACTGTATTTTATACCATAATATTAAAATAATCTTATTCTATTCACTTATTTGTCACAAAATGTAAAAATTATAAAATATATTTCAGAACTTACAAAAGAAAGTTGGAACGATTTGATAAATAACTGGATTTCTATTACCAACAATGATATATTGACTATTTGTCAAATATTAAAAATTGGAATTTACATAAAAGAGTTACAAATTTTACTTAATGTAAATATATACATGATAATCCGATAAGAATAAATTTAAACCATATTTTGGTGGGGAAATGGAACTTCTATTACTCCACCAAAAAGTACAGTATAGCACGTATACTTTGAGTATCAATTTATGAGTTCAAAATCTTATTTACATATATAACTTATAAATACAATATTATTAATTCATAATTGATGATTTATAATATATAGTATGATGTAAAAAGGTCATTAAATGACTATAAACCGTTAATAAATACTACATACCTTGGTTTAAATCTTGTAATTGTACATCGTACACTAGATATATTAAATATACAATTTGGAATCAGCAAAATAATAATAAACGCCGAAGAAGATTGTATATGCGGATTTAAAGATTGTTTTAATGTTAGTACACATTTATTTGCATTAATTTTAAGAAAAATGTTTTCGTTTACTTAGTTTGATTGTTTTCAATGATGATTTATCGGTACTATCGGTACTTTGTTGTTAATTAGATTGTCGTTAATAATATTATTTTATTGTTTTATACTGCTAGAATCAAAAATCATACTTTTCATCTGGACAAATTCAAGAAGATTATTTAAGTCAATCTTTATTTCAAAAACATACAAATTTAAATGATGAAAATGAATTTTTTTTCTTTTATGGATTATCTGAAGGTATTCAATTCATACATAAAATTGTATTATTTTAAAACAGTTACTTATTTTATATATTTATCGATTTATATCTAGAAAAAACTTCCTTGAAAACAACTCCATCATTGGCATTTAATTATATTATTCATCAAAAGTAAAGTTTATTATTTTTATAATTTAATTATCTATGTATATAGTGATATAATTTGCACACATGACTTAAATTGTATTTAATTTAATATTTTAGAGAATTAAAAATATGCATGGTTTTAATATTATTTATAACGCTAGTACAATTATAATATGTATAACTACATATTAATATTATCTACATTTTTTAAATTATTTTTTCGTATATTATACCAGCTGGTATCGATCATCTGAAACTATATATTGCTTTAGATCTACAAATAAACACGAAATCTCACTGGAAGCAGGCGCTTGCGTTATCAATTTAACGCTTGGAATGCTTCATCGATTTAAGTTTATACTTAAACTTTTATTAGGTCATTATTCATCATTATTTAATGCTAAACCAAGTAATTAATATCAATATAAATTAGATTTTACTTGTAAAGAACAAAATATTTCTCACGCTCATACGTACCATAGACTCTGAAGAACAAACTGATTCTCTGGGTAAATCTCCAACCCAAAACGTATGCTTCGATTTTGAAATTTCAAACATTCTAATTAAAATATTACCAATTTGTCACGCTCCTTCAAGCTATAAAGTTAGTAGAAATTTAATTATAATTTTAATATCAATGTATATAAGTAAACATAAGAACTTTTAATTTAGAACAAAAAATGCAGCTCAATCATAGATAATTTCCCTGAAGCTTTGGTAGGAATTTACAAGCTTAGAGGAAGTATAAAAATTGATAAAAGTACAACATGCAATGATATCGAAGAAAGAAAATATTTAAAATTTAATTTAATTGTAAATATATCATAAATATTTAATTATGTTATTATGTTCATAAACTAATGCACAATGTATTTTTTTTTTTTTTTGAAGGCGAACAAATTAGAAGCTAAAGTTTATAAATCAAATATCACGCATTCGTTATTGAAAATAAATACAATAGAATGGAAAAAATTAGAAAACTATTGCATTGAAAATATATCTGACAGCTTATTGAATATTGGTAATCAAAATTCCACTATTTAATAGCCATTCCATTTCTTACTTATTATAATATTAAAAGATAAAAAATTATTCTTTTAAGATAATGTGAAATTTGAATCATCGAAAGACAACTATTTGTTATTTTACTATATTATTCATTCGTTGATCACTAAAAGTCAATGCGATCAAATGTATACTGATGATTGTTTCATTAACTCAGAATTATTACAAAGCAATTTGGGTATGTTTTTTACAATACTTTTTTAATTACAAAAATTTGCATCTTTTTGATTTATTGTTGTTTTACAGATTTTATTGTATTATTCTGGGAAATTAAAGATATTCGTATTTGCTGTATTTTACAAAAACAGTCTTCTAATTTTGATATAACAGTGAAAAATATATCGGCCAATACTATAAAGCTAAATGATAACAATCAATTTTGCTCAAAAATTATAACACTAAAATCCAATAAACTGGGAGATATTATTCATCCTATTTTACATAGTATACATGAGTTTATTTATGAAATATTACTGTGTAATAAGTATAAAGATTCGATTAATTTTCAGTAATAGTACAAATTCCATCAGAGAATGTTACCCAAATGTCTTTACTGTTCATAAAAACAGCAGAAATCGCTATAAATATTGATCCATTATTTTTCGAATGGTTAGTTTATGCTCCCGATTACAGAGAAAACCCAATTGATTCATTGGCATGCTTAGACAACAGGTAATAATTTTGCATAAAACGTGTCGTAAATAATGTATTTTTTTTTTTTTTTATGAAATGGTTTTGTTTTCTCATTTAGAGTTGAAAATGATCTCTCATATAACTTATCGGTTGAAGATCAGTTAGAAAACAAAGTATGTACATAATTTTATTAATACTTATTATTCAATTAATTCAATAATTTATTTAATTGAATGTTTTTCACAATTAAGTTTAAAGTTAAAACTATAAGATTTTCTTTATATACTTCTATATCTACTTTGTGTGTAGCCAAAAAGATTTCATTGGTTTGAAAAATTGGAATCAACTGCAGTGTTCATTGAATTTTCGGCCGTCACACTGAATTTTCCAAATGATGTACTTTCAATTGCAGAAATATCATTTATTGACGAAAAAATAGATATGAAAAGATGGCTGGAAATTCTTAGTGATCACAATATCGATGTACTAGTTATGAGTATATCAAGATTAACTATAAACTGTGCAATTGAATCACAACAAGTTGAAAACTATTTTGACGAATTTCCTGTTAATTTTCCCGAATCATTGTGGTCGAGTTATAGTAATTTCCGTTTTTTATTTTCGCAATAAAAAATTCTTTCATGCGAATTATTATTACAGATCAATCATTATTTCCTTGGGAAATAAATATTAAACAATTAAAATGTTACATTTTCAATAAGAAATGTATTCAGTCGACAGTGCAAGATGAAATTAAAGTTTTTGATACATTTGATATTTTTTGTTCTTTGGTGATCACTAGAACAACTAACATTTTTAATAATAAAGAATCAACGCATTTCAAAAGCTTTTTCGATTTTCATATTTTGAAGTTGATTAATATTTATGTATCAGAACAACAGGTTAATTTACTTTTTCGTTTCAACAACATGGCATGACTGACAATTTCTTTATGTTAAAGAGTTATATAGTTAATATGTTAATACATTAAAGTATTAAATTGGATGTTACCATAATAATAATAATAATAATAATATTCTTTTGTATTATTAATTAATTCACCTTCCAGGTTAAAATCGTTGGAGCACTGTTAAAAAATATAACTGATGTACTCCGAGTATTTTCACACACTTCAGAGTGTAATATTAAAGCTGATGACATTATATTTAATACGAACAAGGAAGACGGTAAAATGTTCTACTATTTGTAATACATCATTATGATAATTCATTGTTTTAAAAAAATTCGCCTGCATTTCGTCTCGATTTCCTAAAGAAATATATATTATTTTTTTGCTTTTATAAGTTAAAATCTCTGCATTTTTAAAACATTTAACATACTCGATTGGTTTTCTTAATATTCTTTGTTTCATCTTAACTTTCTTTTTTATATTTCTTCTAATCGTTTAGTTTATTCAGTTTTCATTTATTTTTTCACTATATTAGTTAAATGCCTTTAAAGTGTTTTGTTGCTATAATATCTAAATATTTCGTAATTTAGTTGCATATTCAAATATTCTATGAGTTTTTTTTTTTTTTTTAGTTGATTTCAACTATCATCTCTTTATTTGTATAATATTCATCTTAAGAATTTAATTTATTATTGCTTTCAGTATTTCGCTTTTTTAAAATATGTTGCTCTGGTATTTTTTTAATCTTAGTTTATGCTTACACTTCCGAAGTTTTGATTAGTCACATATTTTTTTATTATTTGATACTTCACTATAATAATATGGTCGTGTTCTTAGATTTTTAAATTATTTTTATTTATAAGTAATATTTTCATACCAATTACACACACACACACACACACACACACACACATATATATATATATATATATATATATATATATATATATATATATA